GAGCATTGTACAAAAATCAGCAGACACCAGGAGTCAGAAAGACCATAGGAAAAGCACATAGCCCAGTGCGGTCTGCTGTAATACTATTACATCAACCACACTGCGCACAGCAGTTCTCAAATAAACTGAGGATGGAATCAAAACTGTTGTGATATTTGTCAATCACAGCTACAGCCTTCCAAGATAAACACAGATGGAGACCTTTCTCTCTAGACAGCATTTTCTGGGTATAACTGAACATTTAATCTCCGCATGTCCTGATTTAATATGAATCCTACATGCAAAGGACAGCTCAGTTGTCTTCTATCACCATCTGAATATTGCATCACTGCAGCCTGAACTCATGTCTGGGCACTCAGCTTGGGGATATGGGCTCAGGCTTAGCTCTACACTGGGAGTGGGGGGTGTTGGAGCTACAGTAAGAGTGCAACAAGAAGACAGCTCACTGTATAATACTGTACAGGTACAGTATGTCCAATATAGCAACCCATCTACTACCCCTGTATCTCCTACAATTGTCTGGGATATTAGACCAGGATATTGGGATATTAGTTTGCCACTTTCAAATGTTTGTACTAGGCTCCTTAGTCTGGAGCCAGTCAGACCACACGGCTGATTACTTTCTGGGGAGCACTTCAGAGACCCGTCAGACAGCAGAGTCTGCTGGAAAACCTTCTGCAGCTGCAGCTGACGAATGTTTGTGCAGCCCAGACTGGAGGCTCAGATAGTCATCTGAAAACAGCCGAGCTGAAGAAAGCTCTCCCTACTCCTGCCTGCGTCCCTGATGCACGCTGCCCTCGGAGTGGAGTCTCGAGCTTTTGTGTCTGTGTAACGGATTTCTGCTTTAATCTTCCTTCGCTTGCAATTTAAAAATAACCAGTCGTCCTGCAGCAGGCAACGTACTCTTGCAGCGGAGAAAGGGAGCCCGGAGAAAGGTTGGATAATTTGTCTGGGAGTGAGAATTTGAGGAATCTGGTGCATGTGGGAATGTGATGGGTTCAATTAGGAATGAGATTGTGAAACAGTGGGAATGCAAGGGCGTTTGCGAGGGAGAGTGTGGGGCGTGACACACACCAGGTATAATTGTGATGTAACCAGTGATACTGTGAAACTTCCTTGATCTCATCCACACCTCTCAGGTGATACTGACTGGACCAGTTCCTTGAGCATAGCTGCAGGGCCCACAATACAGCAGAAACAATAAAAGCACCAGAACGGGCTAGTCCACTGTGCCTCTCTGTGCAGCGCGTTCGATGTTGCACTACAGCGTGCTGCTGAGTAGCCCTCTCTTTCCTTATTGCACTTGTGCTGCTCTTTCTGTCTCTCTGCCTTCCTCTCTCGCTGCACATTTAAGTGAAGCTCCTGTGTTCCTTGGCAGAGCCAGAACTGCACATTAACTAGAAGAGGTGCATGAATCACCGCTCTAATGACGTGTTATTAAAGGAGTGCAGTCTTTCTCCAGCAACTGGAGCACATAGGTGGAAACACAAAGGGGGAGAGGGAGGGAGCACCTGGAGGTAAAAACCTGAGATCAGCAGAAAAGAGAATAAATGACTGGAGGAGATAATTAAAAAAGCAAAGCTGCATCCCTGGAACCAGAACAAATAGGAGGTTGTTACTACATAGAGAAACACATGGGATAGCAGTGTAGGGAGGGGGCAGGGGGCAGAGGGGGGACTGTGGGGAAACGGGGAACACTGATGGAGTAGACTTAATGTCCAACGATGCTGATGAGGGTCTAAGAGCACAGAGATAGGAAGGGAGAGAGGAGGAATAGCAGATGGGTTTTTTCATACAGTATGTAGCGTAAAAGACCTAAACTGATGAAGAAAATGATGATATTAATGCTGATTATTTTTGTTTTTTCCACTTAACTATGCTTCTTTAATATCTGCCTCTCGTTTGTACCCTTTCTTATGTTCTCCTTCACGTCATTCTTCAGGGAAGTGTGAGAAAAGGACAGTGCGGAGAGCTGTAGTGCTCTCAGGCACACTGCTGGGCTTTCCATTGTCTGCTCAGCCACCCAGAAACTATGAGAGGATTCTTTGCTGTCTCCACAATCCAGGATCGTTAGGAATGTGACCCAGGATGTGCCATGCAGGACTATCAACAGCGAAAGCCTCTTCGAGCCTTTTCGTCAGAGTCTGAGCGACCCTAAGTGCATTTAACACAGGGGCTGCACTACTCCTGCCACACATCAGCGGAGCTGATCTCTCCAGCTGCCTCTCCAGCTGTCTTGGCCCTGCCTGTAGGAACGTTTGTTTTCCACCTCACTACAAGCACAACCTGAAATGCTTTAAAAGAAGAATTCCACAAGCCCTTGAATTTGTTCTCCAGAACATTCCTCAGCTTTATTTCTTCTGGTGTATTAGAGTGCACAACCCTGCACGATGCTCAACCTTCTTAATCACTGTTGGGAGGTCGTCTGGGATGGGAGGCAGTGGAATTGAACAATAGGATGACCTGGGATGTTTGTCTCTCCTCTGAATGGCATCATTCAATTCCTGTGTCTGATTTCACAGGAAACTCTGTCTCACTGGTGCGTCCGGGGTCACCTCACATCATTAGCCTCCCAAAAAAACACCAGGATTCAGACTGAACTTTCTGTATAAACCTTTGGACAATCAAGCCTTGAATTCCTTCTCGTTTGTCCAGGAGATCTTTTTTGCCTTTTTAACAGGCCAGTTTCTCTCCGCTACAGCACCACATTAATTGTTTGTTTATTTCTTTTTAATCAGTTTAGTCTAATGCAATCTAGCACGCTGGTGTTAATTGCCAGCTGTTGGGCTCTTCTGGGACATGAAGGATATTTCAGTGAAGCAGCACACTTACAGTCAGACTTCAGTAGACACCACTAATATCACAGGGGCCCAAGGCACTGCTTCAGAGCTCTGACGTGCTCATATCCAGTCGCTGCCATCGTAGAGATTAATCAAGCAATTATCACAAACGGCCTCTCTGCCCCCTTTCGGCAGTTAATGTCAGGGTTTGGGTCAAAGTTTATGATAACACAATAAGACCATTTATCCTGGCTCTGTTCTATCTTCAACTGCAATCTTAATTGCTGGTAATTCTCCTGCCCCAGCCTCTGCAAAAGGATTCAAGGCTGCAGTGTAGACCAGCAGATCCACAGCTGTCTGGAACTGAAACGTTCAAGATGTGGAGGTGTGATAATCCTTGCTAGGGGAAGAAAGTTTGCAAGTGAGAGGCAGACATGTTCTGCTTATGTAATTCGCAGCAGCCTGTTGACCCCAGAACAATACCAAGCTGGTTTGAAACAATCCTGTACAAGCAGGTACTGTACCTCATCAAATTAATACAATTTATTCCAAAGTCTCAGAGCTCTTTGTGTGAATGGGCCCACTTTACTTGCTTTCTGTCCTTAATACTCCTGTGTTGACTTGCCATGTGCGTCTCTGTTGATCATTTCCTTGCAGTTAGACTCTACCATATAGGACCACACCCATCTCTTGTACACTGTATCACACTGCACTTTCAGTCCCTGCTCCAATACTGCACTGCTCTCACTGGCACTACTCCCATAGTGCACTGCACTTTCAGTCAATACTCCCATAGTACACTGCTCTCACTTGTGTTGCTTCCATACTGCACTGCTTGTTTTGAGCCATTGGTTTAACTACTGTACATAGATTTACAACTGAGCGCACTTGATGAAATACAAAAATTAATTCAGGTGGGTAGCTGTGTCAGCATGTGTAGCCTGCAAAGGAACAAATAATAGGTTTATTAGAAGAGAAGAAAGAAAACAACGTTTCAGCTGTGGAGCCTTCTTCAGTTGTGCAAAATTAAAGATTAAAATGTCAATTATATTTTAATTAATTTCCAGAAAAACAGGTCAGTTGAGATTTTTGATTACTTTTGAAGTATTTAAGATTTCAGGCTCTGGTACAGAGTTTTCACCGTACAGGAGCAGAAAGATGTGTGTTTCTTTGTGACATTCCTGCTGTCACAAGGAAACACACATCCTGTGCACCTAACATTCCAGAAAGCTGAATAAATGGTTGTACTGCAACTCCTGAGATGTGACAGTTTGTAAGCATGGCTGTGTGTATTGGCTGCTCTTTAGGAGGCAGGCTGCTGTAGTGCCTCTCTGTGTGAGAGACCAGCTTCTCCCTTTCCTCTCAGACAACTTTCTAAGTGTGTTGTCGCTGTATATAGCATCTCCAGAGCTCTGCCCTAGTTACAGACTCAGTAAATACAGAAACCAAATAGGTCAGCAGCGATCTGGTGGCCTCTCGACAGCTCACTGAAGCTTCGGCAGGTCTGGGTGCCAGTTTCTTTCCTTGTTTTTTAAGAAGTGTTTCCTTTCATGTACAATTGGCAGGGTTTGCCTACTCAGGTCCATATGGCAGCGGTATCTGTTAACACATTCTCTTTGTTATTGCCCTGATAAATGGCATTCTTGGAAAGTGCTGGAGAAAAATGTTTGCTGGTTCAACATCTCTTCGGTGACAGGAGACTGACAGCAGAGCTGAGAGTAGGATTTACCATTTTGGGCACCTTTCTCCCTCTGTTCCTCACTTCTCTCCCTGTCGTCGCTCCAGCTCCTCTGCTGTGCATCGAAAAGGGAACATTTCACAAGCGGTCATGGCTAATGCTAACAGATCGGGCTGTTTTGACTTTTCAGTGACAATGCCTGTCCTCAAAAGAGCAGCCCACAGCATGGGAGGCTTTCAGCTGGGAACTCTGGGAGTGGCTGGAGGGTGCTGGGGGCTGGCGCAGGACCTGAAACAACCTCTACACCACACGCACGTGAGCACGGGAAAATCAATCGGAACCGTTTCTGTGAACCCAAGGCTATGAGCTGCCACAGCTGTAAAGAGGACCTCTTTCTCATACATTCTGATCACGTTGTTTTGATACATTTAGTATCAATTAGTATTGAGAACAGAAGAGAATGAAAAGCTCATTAACAAGCTGATGTTTGAATGTGCCGTAGGTTGCAGCAGCAGTGCTTGACTCCCCTGACCCAGACTCACCCGTCCCGCTCGGCCTCCTTCTTCTCCAGGTCCTGGATGACATCCAGCAGCACCTTGATGGTGTTCTGGCTGGTCTCCAGCACGTCCTCCATGCTCTGCAGGCGCGTCTGCAGGCTGCTGATGTCCTGGTGCCGGGGCCAAGCGTGGCTCGGGCTGCAGGCTGGAGCCGCCAGCTCCTCCGCCTGCCTTCCCTGAGACAGCAGCTTCTCCCGGGCCCTGGACAGCTCCAGGCGGCCCTTGGCCCCTGCCACCAGCTCCAGCAGCTCATGGACCTGCCTGAGTGTCTCTGCTTGGCCGGGGGGAAGGGGAGACCCCTCTAGCCGTGAAGTCCTGCCTGGGGGCTGTGGGGTGTCCCAGGGGCTCATGGGGGGTTCCCTGCCACTGTGGTTGGCCTGTGGCTCTGTACAGAAGATTGTTGGAGGGATGTTTTCTGATGAGGCCTGAGCTGGGCTGGGGGTGTCAGTTTTCGGAGGGGTCCCTTGAGACATGCAGTCCCCCTGAGGTTTGGGTCCAGTGTCTCCTGGGTGCTGGGTGTCTGCCGCCTTGGAAAGGGGCTTGTGAGGAGGCCTCTGGCTGTCTGCACGATCGCCCTCCTCTCTGTTCTCACTCAGGCCAGGGGGACAGTCCCCAGCCTGCCTGTGCAGCGCTCTGCTGTCCTCTGAGGGCTCACAGCCCCTGGATGCTACTGTGCGACCCAGCACTGGAGAGCAGCCCCCATCTTGTTCTGAGCAGCACAGACGCGCTGGGGCTGCTGCACTGCGCTGCTCGCCCCTCTGGGTGTCCTGAGATGCATGCAGGGGCGTGGGAGTGGTGCATGTGCTGGGGCAGGGTGATGGCCTTCCTGGATCGCTCAGGGCTCGGCCCAGGGCCTGCCGCCTCCCCCCGGGGGCGTCTGGGGGCCTCTTGATGCGGAGTGGTGTGATGCACGGGGCAGCGGGAGGCTGTCCGGCTGGGTACGCGCACTGCTCTGCTGGCAGCTCGCCTGGATGGGAGTTGCAGGGGGAGCAGGTCGGGGCTGAGCCTGAGCCGTGCGCCGTGCTCAGTCTGTGGCCCTGACACCCAGACGGAGGAGGAGACTCGGTTTCCCCTGTCGGGATTCGCTTTAGCTCCCCCGGGCTGGGAGACGCAGTGGTGCCCAGCGCGTGGGCATGGGGTGAGCGGAGGCAGGCTCGAGCACATTGCAGCTGGTCCCCTCGCAGGCAGCAGAGCCCTGCCGGGCCATCCTGAGCGCTGGGCAGATGCTTGACGTCATTGTGGGGCCACAGCTTGTCCTGAGAGTTGAGCCCCACGTCTGCCCCCTCATCGTCCCCGAAGTCCCCCATGCTGCGGCTCCGGAGGCGCACGGCGGGCGGGTACTTCTGCAGGCTGGGGGAGGTCTGGATGGCTGTGCTCATGCAGCTCCGCCGGGGGTTGGGCAGTGAGAGGGAACAGGGCCTCTGGTGTCCCCAGGGGTGGCGGGGAGCACCCCCCGCTAGCATTGAGGCCACACCCTCCAAGCTTCCCACCGTGCCCACTAAAGAGCCCCCGTTCACAGAGACTCCGGGCTCAGCCTGGGGGCCGGCCCCCCTGCTCTGGGGGAGCGCTGTGCTGGCGGGGGAGCTGCGGCCCGGGTCCCCCGCCGTGTCCTCCTCCAGGTCCTTGAAGCGCACCTGCTGGGTGCGGTTCCGCCGGCGCTTGAGCCGCGACTCGATGTCGGGAGAGTCGCGGTTGAGCAGCACCGAACGCACTGTCATGGCCTTGTCCGGGTTCGCGCCGGTGCCAGGAGTCGGTATGTGGTCGGGCTCCTTGCTGACCATGTCTCCGCGGTAGCGGCTCGCCCCCTTGCTCGTCACGCGCGTCTCGGGACTGTGGCTGTGGCGGCAGGAGACGCTCGCGGATTCGGCAGACGATTCCGAAGGGTTAAGAGCCCTGCTGCTTTACACATCGCCTCCGATTTGGGATACAGCTTCCTTGATTATTATCATCGTCATTATTAGTATCGCTGGGAACTGTAGTACAAACATTAGCACTCGTGGTTTTATTCTTATCCTTTCAGGAAATTGCTCCTCTGGGCTGCAGCTCTGGCAGACGGCCATGCTGAGCCTCGGGGGGTCACATGGCTCTTCAGCAAGGGGGTATCTAGGCCCTGCCCCGCACAGACCCCTGCCCTCTGGGGCTCAGTGGTTCCTGATGGCGCTGCAGGCAGCAGGATGTGAGGTGTGTCCTCCTCATGGTGTCCTTGGATGCAGCTCCATGACCTCCTTGAGCAGCAGAGGCTGTGCTTGAGAGCAGAGAGAGCCGGAGCGGTGCAGGGCTCCGGTCACTGTCCCCGAGTCCCTGCTGCCCTCTCAGGTCCACCGGCCCAGCAGGGGCAGCGGGCAGGGTGCCAGTTGGAGGCCGAGCGCAGGCAGAAGGAGCGGCTTGTGTTGCTGTGAGAAGTAGCGGGCCATACAATCAGCAGGTGTGGCTCATCTCACACTGGCATCCTCCTTGTCCCCCATCACCGGCACACAGCCCTGCGTGCCAACCTCCTCTCCTCACGGCACGAGGGCGGGCAGGGCCTGGAAGAAGACAAGATCACACTACTGAGGGCTCTGGTCACGCACACAGCTTCTCACACAGGGCAAGTAAAAACCGGGGCTAACTTATGAACTTCAGTTAAAGAAATGAAGTGCAGGAAATTTCAAGCACTGGTCATGAAGGATATTAGAAGGGCCAAGAGAGACAGAGGAATATTGGACATTAAAATAAATACCAAAAGGGCGAGGGGAAGCATCTCAGAGATAAATAGCTGGAAATATGAAATAGTTGATTATTTGACTCGGTTGTTTAGCAGGAAGGAATTCAGCAACATGACTCATGTATTTTGAGCAGTATCCTGGAGGAGGCAGAATTGTGAGGCATTCAAGATGAGCAGATCTCCGATGTTACTCTCCCAGCAGGCGAGAGATCTGGTCTGTAAGTCAGGAAGAGATCATTCTACAGGAAGGAGGAGTGTTATTTACCTTTATCTTATAGATGTTTAAAAGTTCTTATCTTTGTGATTTTTCTTGATTTTAATTCTAAAACTTTAAACTTTAGAAAGTTGGTTTTGATCTTTGTACTGTTTTTGAGGGGTCTATTGAGGAGTAACATTTCTCAAGGAGCCAATGAAAGTGACGGTGTTGCAGGGAACAGAGAGGCTGATCTCTGAAAGGTCAGATCTTTAACTGAAATCACTGGAGCTGTGTCTGTGGGCAAATCCATCTACTCTCATAGCTCAATTAAGTCAAATATTTGCATTTTTAAGGTCCCCTTTGAAAGCTTGTGTCACTCCGACAGTGGCTGGAATCACAGCAGAGCACTGCAGACACAGAGGCTCACGAATAAGCAGGGGAAATGATAAGGACTGTTTGTCTGTTGATCTTTCTGTTCTCATCACACTCCCTGTTTTTAAAAGTAGTTTTCTCTCAACCTCTGTTTAAAAGTGCTTTAATATAATATAAACATAATTGAGATAAATGTGTCAAACAATAGCTTTGTGATGGTTGACAAAGAGTATTGAATATACTGTACAGGCCCCCATCAGAACAAAGTTTATGGGATCATGGGATATCTGGTTTAAACTGCCCAGGGAGGTCTGTGATGTGTGATCATAGTCAACTTGTTGAGCGCTTTGAGCCCAAGATCTGTGAGCCTGAGGCCCAGCTGAGTGAATTCAGCACATGGGTCCTGTGGAGTGAGCAGGGGTCAGGAAGCTTCAGTCCAGCAAGGGAGAGATCACTGAGATCCTGAGATCCCAGATCACTGATCACTGATCACTGATCACTGATCCCAGATTACTGGCTGATTGTGGGCCACAGCTGTAGGAAAGATTGAGCCTGTACTGTAGGCAACATTCGCAGAGCTGTTTGTATACAGCATCATCCAAGCCTTGGTTGTAGAGCTCTCTGAGCGAGTTAGGAACATCCTGGGCAGACCTGGGGGGGCCCAGTTGCCATGGTCCATATTGGAGCAGATAACATGGGAAAAGGAAGCTGACAATTCTGCAAGACAAATGTGAGGGTTTGCTTGGAAAAATGGCAGCAGAATGTCTATGGTGCTCTTCTCAGGAAGCGTAGCAGTGACATATGCAGGAGGTACAGAGATTGAACATGAGGCTGAAGGACTGGTGCAGAGAAGGGGGGTTTAGATTTTGGGGCACTGGGGTTCTTCTGGAACAATGGGACTGTACAGGCAGGACAGGGGGCGCCTGAACCAAGGGGCGCAGCTGTACTGGGGGAGTTTGTGTGGAGTAGTTCAGGAGTATTTCAGCTGGGGAGCTGTGGGCAAGCAGCTCACAAAAGGGCAATTCTGGTGGATCAGGAAAGCCCAGGGCAACACTGAGTACAGACCTCAAACAAGCAACACTCCCATTCAAAAGGCCACTGTATCAGCAGGGCGGAATTACATAGGAGTAACTGAATAATGGCTGGTGAGGACAGCAATGATGTTGTTCTTTTCCTGCAAGATTTAAACTTTTCATTCACAAATTTAGAATGTATGGAAGCTTAACCCAGTTTGTAAAGGGACCTGTAAGAGAAGGTGCTCTGACCTTCTTAATCAGCTAGAGTGTGTGAGAATGAAGGAAAAGGAATGATAGAACCAGGGATAAATGGTCACACAGTACATCATGATCATCGTGGTTATATTTCTAAAGTGTACGAAGGCTCAGACTAGCCCATCCCTAGTGCAATTACATCCAAGTCTAGGCCGAAAAACATGGCCAAAATGTTTTAATAAAGAAAAAATCTTAGAGGGAAGAGAGCACTTCCACAGACTGTTTTAAGAGTCCCAGGATTCAAAGATGTAAAAGAGTAAAATGAGCTGCATCTGAAAAAGGACAAGCAGGAGACAGAAAAGAATATTGCAGCAGAGGCAGAAAATAAGGCAGAGCTGCTTCGGTGCAACAACAGTGAAAGAACAGGAAGAGGTGAACAGCTCATGAGATAACGAGGGGGTGATTGCGGAAGCTTAAAAAAGAATTAGCAAACACGTGGAAGATTCTCCCTGCATGTCTGTCCATGTCTTTGGGGAGAGTCACACATTAAACCAGGGCGAACGAGTGGAAATACCAGCGTTTACCTTGGCTTTATTCACAGAAACAAAAATAAAACACAGCTCAGCCCATTGCTCTTGCTGTAACTCAGACAGCTGACTCTGGACTCTCCTGACTGCCAGGCCTCCCTGGTTGTCAGCCCTTCAATATATCCCTCATGCAAACTGAAATGTCCTTTTCTTCAGTCACCAGATTAAACAAGAACAGGTCAACTACAGTATATTCAACAGGTGGCCTATAAAGACATTAGCCAGTCTTTGAGGGTGACTCAATGGCGTCCTCCGCTGGTGGCTGTATTGTCACTACATTGCCTATTCTGGCAACTTGTTCCACACGTGTAATGAATATTTCAAGCAGAATATTTCTATAGAAGATGTCTATAACATATTTACATGATGTTTTCCCCAGTCATACTTAAGCAAATGAGGGATATTATTCAAATTCAAATCAAATTTCAACATTGTAATTCATGGGTTATTCAAATAAGAAAAACATAACTGTTTGAGGGGCTCACTCCGTGTTCCTCAGGTCGGTACAGGAGATCACACACTGGGCTCCAGTTATATTGAATTTCCTCTCCTAGCAGGGTTGGAAGCTGATCTAGTTCTGGCAGGTGTGGGAATTCTGCTGGCTTTGGGAGCACGTGATCTGTGGACAGCCAGGTTTGCCTGTGTCTCCCAGTTTCTGTGGCCGGGCTGTGGTCACTGAGCCTGTACTCCATCAGGATCTGTTTCTCTTTACTGTCTCTTACCCTGGTAAGATCAGATACTCAGCTAGTGTGTAATGGCTGTTTAGGGTCCTGTAGCATTCCAGTGTGTGTGTTGTGTGTGTGTCCCCCAGTGGATGAGGTAGTGTTGTTTGGCTTGTGCTGTGATTTAGTTGATTTTGATGGGTGTTGCTGTAGCTGTGCTGTCCTGAGGCTGGTTGGTGTCAGTGAACTTCGGGAGAAGCTGGCTGAGGGGCTCTTCTCTGGGCTCAGTTCTTGGCTTAACAAGGCCTTGTGATGGTAGGAGTTGTGATCACTGCTTTTCAGCTTCAACTGATTTTTTACTGCTCTAGTCAGTATTTTGATTAGCATTGTGTATTAGCCTAATTAGGCCCTGCACATGTTATTGACGTTTTTCTCTGCACAAAGAATGTTTTGATATAATTCTAATGTGCTGAGTATCTATGGGGTGTTTGTGCCATTTATTGTAATCCTGGTCTGTGATTACACACCTACCTCACTGTCATACAGTATTTGGGTAATAAGCTTGATTACACTTTCATACTGTATATGAGTTCACTGCCAGATATAAACTTTTAAAATAACTGGTCTTTAAATCGAGGTACATGTACAGTACTGTAGCTAGTTGTCTTTTTGAATGTATTGTTATTCAGGGTTAAGTGGTATCTGTTTCCCTGAGAAACCTGTTTCCCTAGTTTTCTGGAAAATGGTAACTGGTCTTGTCCAGATTGACTATCAGTGCCCAGGTCTGATAGTACTGCTCTAGCAGTGCCAGGCTTTGTTCTGTGGGTTACAGTAGGAATGGGTCATCCACATAGAGCAGGACCTTGGTTTCTGTGTCCTGTAGTGTGAGACCAGGAGCTGCAGACTGCTCCACACCTCTGCTAACTCATTGATATAGATGTTGAACAGTGTGGACTAAGGTGCAGCTCTGTCACTCCTCACTCTGAGTGAAGAAACCTCTTTTTTTTCACTGTACACTTGTTTTCTGAGCACAGCAATTAAATTATGTCATATACTTTACTCCCTACATCACTTTAAAGGAGTGTGTAAAATAGTCCTTCATGCCAAATCGAATCAAATCTTTTAAATCAATAAAGCAGGATAATATTTTTTCCATTGTTTTCTTGGTGGACATGCTTCTTTATAAGTGTGTGTATCTTCCGCAGGTTACTGTTCACATAGAAGCCCTGGTAGTTGTTAGGGTTGAGTCTGTGGATGATTATGGGAAACACCTGGCTCTCAGGTTGATGAAGGGTGGTGCAGCACGTTGCTGTGGATTCTGTCTTGGCCACAGGACCTTGGTGGTCTGTGGACTTTGTCTTGTAGTTCCTGCCCCATAGCCAATTCCAGATTTTTTAGTTTATTTGTAAACTCATATACTATATGAATAAAAGGTGTTGAATTTAAGGTGGGAGCTGCCTGCACAGACTGGAGAATTGGCAGTGTGACATCAATTCCTAAAAAGGGTTACAGAACTAAAAAAGGAAAGTATAAACTTATCTGATTGGAGTGGCAAGCTGAATTGGCATGCAGGAACACAGTGTATTGTATTGTGCTTGATTCCAAACCGAAAAGCAGAAAGAAAAAGAAAATTTCATTCATATAATAAATACAAACATTTTCACTCATACTGCTGGAACACAGGAAAATATTTTCTACCCCAGTGGATCTGACTAGTATACTGGGGACTTTGTAGAAGAAACTGGCCAAGGTGCAAACTTCACATGTTCTTATAGGGGCTAAGAGAGTTAAAG